AAAATTGCGCGTGATTGGCTGTTACAGTATCAGGACCATAAACACTTTTCACATTTTCAGCCGCCTGACTTGCGTTTTCGCCTTTATTGAAGAAAAACTGTAAAATATGGCGTATTTTCTCTTTGCTAGTGTCCATCTTTGACGCGCGCTCAAACAATACTGAATCAAACAATCATAAAACTGTCTGAGAAGTTTTTTTAGTACGAAATCTTATCTTTCTAACGCCATCTAGCGTAAACCGATCGCACTTATACAACGCGAGATACACATTACTAAAGCCATCTATTGGAAAAATAATGGATTTCTTTTTACTACACCTTATATTAATGTCTATATTGCGCATAAGAACGGGAAAAAAAATTTAATTCACAAAACAACAAGAAGAGTTCTAAATTTGCGGGCAGAATTATCTAGCAATCCTAATATTATATTTACATAATCTCATTTTCTACACATATTATTATGTTTGTTTTTCTATATACAAATGTAATTCTCTATAAGAAAATAAAATCTGTATAACGGTGGACTTTAGCTTGGTTGTCGAGAAAGTAAATTGGCACCATTTTCCTATTTGGTGTCTACGTATTGCGCCAAGATTCTTCAACATCTTGCTAATCTTGAAGCGTGGAGTTTCCCAAGCGTGGCACCAGATCTTGCGACTGAGCAAAGTAATGTATTAATAACGCTTTATATATAAATGATAAAGTAAAATGTTTTCTGATAAACTTATTTTCTACGTTTTTTAGTTGTTCTGTGCGGTATGGAGGGTTACTACGAGTTCGCCGATAAACATTATGAAGATTTGATATTGAGTTGGCCGCATCAGAGTGGTTGTTTCAGTGCATTTAGGTAATTCTTCATATATTGTAATTGTTATATTATCACTGTTTATTATTGCATGTGATGAATTATTTATACATTAATTGTTCAAAAAGTTGCGTGTTGTGATTTAATTGTGATAATTTACATTTACTTCAACTATACTATATAATAATGATATTTTCATATAAATCTAATCATAATATGAAAATTACATTACGTAGTTATTATAATCATATATATATATATATATATATATATATATATATATATATATATATA